CTCTCTCTCTCTCTCTCTCTCTCTCTCTCTCTCTCTCTCATTTCTCTCTCCCTCTCAGACAAGGTCTCACTATGTAGCCCAGGCTGGTCTTGAATTTATGATCCTCCTGCTTCAGTCTCCTTGTTACTGATATTTCAGGCCCATGCCACCACACCTAGCTTCTCTTATAATAACTTGAGACAGAAATCCAAAATCCAAGGTTGGAGGACGGTTGATCACTCCCTCCCCACCCTGCACCACACCCCAAGCCAGAGCCAAGTTACAAATTGGGCTCTCCCTATGTCCTGATCTCCCAATTCTAGCCCAGCAGTAAGCCATCAGCACTTATTGCCACCTCCTAGCCACCCATCATTGGTGGCTTGGCCTTTGTATTCCCAAGATCTAAGCCAGCAGCTTGGTAAGCAACAATAACTGATGCAAAATCCCTGGGGCATAAAGCACTTAATCTTGCCTTACTCTTAGTCTTTGCCCTTGCCTCAGTCTCTATACCTGCAGAATGGGGATGACAGCATCACACTTGTAGCATTGTATGTTGTTCAGACAAAACAGAGTGACTCCTAGAATGTGCGGGCCACAACCAGGAGAGGTGACATGAAGACAGAGGTGATGTAACCAGGATGGAAGGAGGGCACAGGGCTGAGGACCCGGGGCAGAGTCTGTGAGCTGTACTCTCACAGAACTCTCTGGAATCCTAAAAAATAGATGGGCTGAGCTAGGAAGATGACTCAGTAGGTAAAGTGCTTGTCATGCAAGAGGACTTCAGTTTGGATTCCCAGCACCCTTATAAAAGCCAGACACATCTATAACTCAGCACTGGGTAGTTGGCAAAGGAAGATCCTTGGAGCTCACTGGTCAGTCAGTCTAGCCCAATCGGTGAGCTCCAGGTTCAGTGTGAGACCCTGTCTCAAAATACAAGGTGGAAGGGGCTGGGAAGAAGGCTCAGCAGTTAAGAGCAGAAACTGTTTTTGCAGAAGACCTGAGCTTACCTCCTAGAACCCACAATGGATGGCTCATATGACTAGGAGTAAATCCAGCTCCAGAGCATCTGATGCCTCTAGGCTCCCAGGATACCTATACTCACATGCACATACACACACAGGGTCATACACACACAAATAATTAAAATTTAAAAATCTGAAAAAAAATTAGATGAAGAATGACCAAAAAGACACCTGACTTCAACTTCTGGCCTCCATACAAATGTGCACACACATGCATGTGCATCTACATGCACTCATGCATACAGACACATACACATACACCACACACAAAGAAACACACAAAATGAGTTTCTGAGCTGTGATTGTAGCTTAGTGATGGAACACTTGCCTAGTATGCAAAAGGTCATGGGTTTGAACCATAGCACTGGGAAGGAGGAAGGAAAAATTTGCAGGGATACACAGCATCCTGCATGGTGGAGCTACTTCTCAAACCCAGGGAGCTGAGGGGACATTCAGTGACAATGGTGAGCAGTATTATCCTTGGATCTTTGCTGGAGATCAAACCCAAGGCTTTGTGCCTGCTAGTCAAGCACTCTGTTGACTAAATTGCATTTCTAGGTTCTCTCCTTTAACTTCCCAGGCCCTGTGTTTGACATGTCCTCTGTGTATGTCCTACTGTTTGTTTCCTCATCAGTCTCCCCTAGTGGACTGAGCGCTGTAAGAGGGCAGCGATCTCTCAGCTTCATCCTTGCATCTAGTGCCAGGTTCATGCTCAATACACAGCTTTTGACCCCAATGGACCCTCTACTGCTGTTTTGTTCAGTGAATTCACAAATCTTCCTCTCCACCCTAGCCCCTGACTGACTCTAGGCTTAGAGAACTATTCCCAGGGCCCAAGTGGACACACACCACTCATAGCCACCATCTCAGAAGTAGCATATTGCTACATAGAGGATGAGACATTGTCCCATGCAACAATAGACTCTTACACTTCAGATGTGCCTCAGGCAATCTGGCAAAACCCACAGTATTTCAAAATCACACGCCCTTTTTGGCTCAGTGATTGCATTTCTAGGGATGGATTTATACATAACGGTCCTGGTCACCACATCAACACCACTCCATCAGTCTTCATGGTTAAGGGGGCTTTCTGTACCTTGTAAGACTTTTATCAGCATCTTTGTCATCATCCACCCACTGGGTACCAGTACCAACTTCCCTGTTGTAACAACTGAAAATCAACAGGTGTACAAAGTTCCTACAAGTATATCCAGTGTAAACAAGGGCAGGAAATAGCCTACCTGTCCCAGGACAGCCACACCATGTGTATCAGTTGCCCATGGTTGCTCTAACAAATCAGCACAATCTGGAGGCTTGTCAGCAGTCTGAACTGTGTCAATGGGCCAAAACTAAGGTCTCAGCTTGACATAGGGGTAGAGAGGACTCAGGAGCAGCTTTTAAAATTTTTTACTATTTTTGTTTTTTTAAATTATTTTTTTGTGCCAGGTGTGGTGAAGCTACAGGGAGACTGTCTCAAAAAGACCAAAAAAAATTGTTTCTGAGTGTTTTGCCTGGGTGTATATAAGTGCACCTGTGCCATGCAATGCCCCCCCAGAGGCCAGAACACGGCGTCAAAACCCCTGGAACTCGAGTTACAAAGGGTTGCTTGATGACCTCTGCAAGAGCAGCTAGTGCTCTTTACCGCTCAACCATCTCTCCAGCCCCTAATTTTTGGAGGCTTTATTTATTTTTGGTCTTTTCTGAGACAAGGTCTTCCTTGTAGTCCCAGCCGGCCTGGAACTCACTATGTATGTAGACCAGGCTGGCCTTGAACTCACAGAGGTCCTCCTGCCTCTGCTTTCCAAGTGCTGGGATTAAAGGCAAGTTTTGGTTTTTAAAACACGGTCTCACACTGTAACCCAGAATAGCCTCAAACCTCCCAAGATGAGAGACATATCTACTAAGTTTGGCTAGTGTGCAGCTTTTAAACAAACAGGTCAAATGGTTGTAAGTTACGGTTGTCCCATGTGGAGACTCAGGCTGACAGGCACCAGCAGCACAGAAAAGAAATCCTTTCCTCCAAATACCTTCCCAGAACAGCTCCAAGAAAGTTCAAAGCAGAACCACCCAACCCTGGGGCTCCCGGAGCATCAGCTGGCTGGGGGCGGCGCGGGGCACCCTGGGAAATGTAGTCTGACTGCCGGGCCAGTGCCCACGACTTCTGCTTCCGGCGAATACCTTCTCTCGAGCTTTGACCCGGAGGGTGAATTGGGGCTGAGGTGAGGTGGGAGTACCGGGGCAGGGGCGGAGCCTAGGAGGGGCGTCTATTGCCAGAAGCCATTCCCCAGAAGCCCGCTTTGCTTACCAACTGTATGCACGTTGCTGCTGACTTCCACAGCCAGGGTCTGGTGAGGTGGACTGGGCCAGGCCTTAGGATGCCTTCGTTAGTATTAAGGACTAGAGTGAACCAACCTGGGGCCAACGTGTACGGGTTAGGTTCCAACCACCTCACTGAATTTCTTGTGTGACCCCAGTTCAGTGCTTAAAATTCAGAGCTGCAGTCATTCTTTATCTGTATAGATAACAACAGTACCTCTCTTTTTTTTTTTCTTTTTGGTCTTTTTGAGATAGGATCTCCCTGTAGCCCCAGCTGTTCTGGAACTCACTATGTAGACCAGGCTGGCCTTAAACTCACAGAGATCCTCCTGCCTCTGCCTCCCGAGTACTGGGATTAAAGGCGTGCGCCACCACGCCCAGCTAAGTACCTCTAATTTTTAAATTTTTTTTTTTTTTGACTTTTTGAGACAGGGTCTCCCTGTAGCCCCAGCTGGCCTGGAATTTGCTACATAGACCAGACTGGCCTTGAACTCACAGAGATCCGCCTGTCTCTGCCTTTCAAGTGCTGAGATTAAAGGCATGCACCACCACACCCAGCTAATACCTCTATTAATAATAAATCAGGTGAGCTTTTTTTTTTTCTTTTTTTTGAGACAGAGGTCTTATGTACCCCAGTCTGGCCCTAAGCTCAGTAATTGAGGATGACCTTGAGTTTCATGTGTGTGTGTGTGTAGACTGAAGGGCGTCAGGTATATCTATTACCCTCTGCCTTATTCCTTTAAGATGGGTTTTCTTGGGATGAGGATGTAACTCTGTGGTTGAACACTTGTCTGACAAGCATTAGATGCTAGGTTCAAACCCCAGCACTGCGGATAACAATAAAGATGCTTTTTAGGGGCTGAAGAGATGGCTCAGCGGTTAAGAACACTGGTTGTTCTTGCAGAAGACCTGGGTTCAAATCCCAGTACCCACATGGCAGCTAACAACTGTCCCATAACTCCAGTCCCAGGGGATCCAACAGCCTCTGCTGACCTCCGCAGGCATTGCAGGACACAGGTGCACTTACCTACATGCAGGTAATACACTTATACACATAAAATAAAAATAATAAATAAAATATATTTTTTTAAAGATGCTTTTTAGCCAGGCGTGGTGGCACACGTCTTTAATCCCAGCACTCGGGAGGCAGAGGCAGGTGTATCTCTGTGAGTTCAAGGCCAGCCTGGTCTACATAGTGAGTTCCAGGACAGCTGGGGCTACAGGGAGACCCTGTCTCAAAAAGACCAAAAAAAAAAAAAAAAGATGCTTTTTAAGGGGGCTGCGTCGCTTTTAAAGGAAATGGC